TTCTCTTCTCCTTTTGGGACCCTATAATGTGAATGTTACTCCACTTGATGTTGTTCCATAGGTCCCATGAGCTATCTTCACTTTTTAAAATTCTTTTTGTTTTTGTTGTTATTGTTGTTGCTGTTCCTTTTGGATAAGTTCCATTGCCCTGTCTTCCAGGTTGCTGATCTGTTCTTCTGCTTCATCCAAACTGTGGTTGAAATTCTTTAGTGTATTTTTTTCAGGTCAGTTATTGTATTCTTCAGTTCCATGACTTCTGTTTGATACTTTCATATATTTTCTGTCTCTTTGTTTGACGTTTTCACTGTGTTCTTCCATTCTTCTCCCAATTCAGTGAGCATCTTTATGATTTATTGAACTCTTTGTCAGGTAAATTACTTATCCCCATTTCAACAAGGATTTTTTTTTTCTTTTCTATTTTTATGTTGTTCTTTTTATTTGGAATGTATTCTTGTTTTCTCATTTTGTTTTTCTCTATATTTTTGTTTCTGTGTATTAGGTGGAATAGCTATCTCTCCCATTCTAGAAAGAGTGGCCTTGTGTAGGCGATGAAACTTTTTGTTCAACCTTGCCCTAGTTCTTGGTTGTATCTTGAACTTTGTGCTTACCTATGTAGTCTGATTTATTCTTAATAGGGGAGAGCACAAGGGTGGAATGAGCCACTTGCTGCAGTGGGACCCAGGGAGATACAACATGTGGGCAGGGTGAGCCTGCTGGCTTCAGAGAGGCTATGGGGGAGCACAGAGGGGACCCAGGACAGGAGTGAGCTTCCTGGCAGTAGTAGGGCCACCAGAGCATGTGGGTAGGGCAAGCCAGGCAGCTGCAGCAGGGCTATGGGAGAGCAGCTGCAGCGGGGCTATGTGGGGCAATCCCTACAATACTAGCAAGGTTGAATGAGAATGCAAAAATGGTGCTTGCCGGCATCTTCTCCTCTCTAGAAAATCCTGCCAGACCCCTGTGTCTCCAGCGCATGCTAATGAATGTCCATTGCATTTAGAATGGTGCTTTCCAAACTACATTTTTTTTTGGAGATTCCTGGCGTAAGTCTGTAAGACCTTTAAAAGCAGCCTTTCCATTTATCACAGCCTATTGGATGTCCAGGGTATAAGCCCTTTTGGTTTGCAGAGTCAGATATTTTGGGTGTTCATCTCTCCAGTGTAAACCCCAAGGGTTAGGGTGCCTGATTTGGGGTATAAGCCCCTCACTTCTCAGGGAGAAACTGGGGGTCCCCCTAAACAGTGATTTGCCATGTTGAGGGTAGGGATTTTAGCAAGATTATGTCTCTGCCTCTCTTACTGTCTCAATGTAGCCCTTTTATCTTTTGTTGTGGAGAAGCTCTTAAGCTAGTTTTCAGGTATATTTCAAGGGGAATTGATCTTTGTGTAGCTGAAGATTTGGTGTGTCCATGGGAGATGTTGAGTTCAGGATCTTTCTACAACATCATCTTGAACCACCCATTCATTTACTCAATATTTACTGTGCATACTATGATAGAGGACTTTCTCTTTTCTTCCATTCCTCTTACAATGCTCATATTTTACTTCCTTGAACATATAGAATATATTCTAATATTTATTTTAACAGTCTTTTCTCCTAATTCTATCATTGGTGTCATTTCTGTATCTTTTTAATTGATTGAATCTTCTCCTTATTATGTATCATATTTTCCCACTTATATACTATCCTGGTAATTTTTGATTGAGTGCCAGGTATTAATGATTTTATGTTTTGGAATACTGGATATTCTTGTATTCCCTTCTCTATTTTTAGATATAGTAAGTAACTTCGGAAAAGTTTGATCATCTAACGATTGCTTTTTTAAAAAAATTTTATTGTTATGTTAATCACCATACATTACATCATTAGTTTTTGACGTAGTTCCATGATTCATTGTTTGTGCATAACACCCAGTGCTCCATGCAGAACGTGCCCTCTTTGATACCCATTATCAGGCTAACCCATCCTTTCACCCCCCTCCCCTCTAGAACCCTCAGTTTGTTTTTCAGAGTCCGTCGTCTCTCATGGTTCGTCTCCCCCTCCGATTTCCCCCCCCTTCATTCTTCCCCTCCTGCTATCATCTTCTTCTTCTTCTTCTTCTTCTTCTTCTTCTTTTTTCTTAACATAACGATTGCTTTTAGGCTTTTTTAGTGGATCCAGAGCAACCTTCAGCCTCATGTTAATGTAGTTCCATTACTGAAGCAATATTCTTCTGAAGAGGTGACTAAATCTCCTGCGTTTTAAGAAGTCTTTATACTCTGGATGGTTGAGAGGCAAATTATTCCTGGTTCTGGGATTGTTGTGCTTTATCTTTTCCAATGGTTCTTTTCCTATGCTGGAAAAGCCTTACTGGCATGCAGTCACTAAATCAGTCCTTAGTTAAAGATTGGTTGGGAATGCACTGCAGATCTCTACCCTCTTTCTTGTGCAGCCGTCTTTTCTTACATTCTCTGATCCACAAATTCTAGTTACTTTAACCTCCTCCAACTAGAACTCTGCCTGGCTGAGTTTGGGGTCTCCCTCTATGGAGCTACAGCTTGGAAACTCTCTTCAAATAACTATGGTGATCTTCAGAGGTCACTGTCATGAGCTACTTGTTGATTAGTTTGAAAACTGTTATTTAATCTGTGCCCATTGTTGGTTGCTGTTTACAGTTGGAGGGTAGATATGGTCCCTTTTACTCCATTATGGTTAAAAGTGGAATTATCCTCTCTTCTTTATGATTTCCACTAATTCCCTGATTCTAATCCTTACTTTCTTATGCTTAGAACAGGGGTAGTTAGAGAGTAAGTATAGGCTTACAGAATTCTGTCAGAATTCTTTGGGAGTCTTTTTCAGACATGGCATTCCTCAGAAGTGGACTGTGTGTAAAAACAAGTATATTCTATATCATAAGTTTATTAGGAGAGAGGTTTTAAAGAACTATTACTTTGGTTATATGCCTTGCTGATATTTTTAAATTGAGCTCTTGAAGGGAACATAGTCTTTACATATTGATTTCCTCTAAATCTCTTCAATGTCTAACCATGTACTTCAGAGCCCAAATCATAAATGCTTTTTCCCATGAAAATTTCCAGAGTATTTTACCCATGTTCTTTTTCCTTCTCTCCTACTATGGTAGATCCTTCTTTGCACCTACCCAACATACAAAAACTTATGAATAAATTCATTAATGGAATCTACCATATCCTCTGTTACTGCCAATCATATTATGAATTCTTCATGATAGGTAGCCATGTCTCATCATTTGTTGTACTTCAAACATTTAGCACAATATTCCAAATGAGGTAGGGAAATAACTCTCTTTATTAGAAAGAACACTAGAATTTAGTTAATCTGCTGCTTATATTACTGTGTAAATCTAGGTTTCTTCATCTATGATTTCAGGGGTGGGAAAATCATACTTGCAATTTTAGGTCCGTAATCTGTGTCATTATGAGGGTAGGAAGGAAAATGGACATAGGAGCTAATTGTGAGTTTTGAACCAGGTAGAATATATAAGGAAAGAGTTTTATAAGCTATAAATTGCTTAAACTTCTAGGGTATTATTATTGTTGTTGTTGTTGTTGTTCTACAAATTAATACTTTCTATTGACTAGAGTAAGAAATATATTGTATCACTAATTGCTGTGAAAGTTCTATCTGTACATTATATTCTAGACAAAATTGCTGAAACATCATTTTAGTTGTTACAAATTTTAGATTAATAAAAATATGAAAAGAACATTAAAAATACAGAGCAATATATATATACATATATATATAGTATTAGTATTGTACAAACTGCTAATGCACCCCACTCTTATGTAATTTTTGCACATTTCATGATATCTTTAAAGATGTTGATAGAAACCGGAAAAACAGATGTTAATGAGTCATAGAAGGATAAGTATTATATTAGGATATGTGCCGATGCTTTCTGGAAAGTGAAACCAGAATTCACTGGAAAGATCATTTAGTGTATTGAAGAAATGTTCTCTTTCATTCTAGGAAATATTTGTTCTAATTCTTTCAGAGATTTTTTTTTTTTAATTTAAACTTGTATGGACAAACAGATATCCCATCCCCTAAGGACAGATCCTAAAGGTTTTACATTAGTGGGCCTTACAATCAATTCAATCCTTCAAAATACCATTATAAGAAAATATAGAAGGAAAGCTAAAGGAGAAAGAAAAAGAGAAGGAGGAAGAGGAAATGAGGGGAATAAACAAGAATGGAAGGCAATATACGGTATAAGAAGGTTTCACACATATTAAGGGGAATTGTAGAAATTATTTAAGATTTAAATATATTTAAGGCCTTTCTTACTGTAAGTTATTATAGAAAAAGTTTGAAAGACATCGTTTTTATAGATAACAAAAACTAGAACTGGAGGAGAGTGAAGACTATTTCAACTCAGAAAGAACTTAGAAAATATTGCAAATTATTTATGTCCAAGAGGGAACATATCTAAGAAAAGTGGTTTCTTCTCATTAATGAATTAAATCATCATATTCAGCATTATTTCTCTAACTGCATTTGCACATAATTGTTTCATGTTACCCTCCTATTGGTAGTACTTATTTGCAATATAAATTGGTAACATGTTTAAATTACGTTTACTTTGAAACTTCTTTAAAGGATGTTTCCATAGAAATTCTCTTAAATGTGTCCTAGGGACCTAGTAAATAAATATGTGTTGACTCACCAACATAAAAAGTGTATATGGAATTAAAATCAGCAAAACAAAATTTTTTTTTGCTAATAATCAAAGTAAAAATTGAACCAATGTGCTTTTCTTTGCCTAAGATCAGTGTTAAGATTTCAACAGCTCAAATGTTATTCTTGTCTCTAAATTCAAGCAATTTTCAAGTATAATTTTAATATCTAATAAAATTGAGTTATACTGAGCTACTAAAAGTATACTTGTGATTAGAATATAGCTTTGTCTATCCAAAGCCATGTAATGATTAACAACTACTGAAGTCAGATTTATGAAGATCAACCTCTGTTTTCTTCTTTAGGAATGGCAAGTTCATTGAAGAAAATGAGAAGTACATATTGAAAGGAAGCAATACAGAACTCACTGTCAGGAACATAATTAATAGTGATGGGGGTCCTTATATCTGCAGAGCCACAAATAAAGCAGGAGAAGATGAAAAGCAGGCATTTCTCCAGGTCTTTGGTAAGTATTATAGCATAGTGGTTAAAATTATGATGTCTAGAGGGAGGTCTGAGTCAAATTCTACTCTGTCACTTATATGTCACTAACTTTCTAAAATTAAATCTGTTTTCTCATCTGAAATATATTTTAGCATTGAAGCTACCAGATAGAATTATTTTAAGAATTACATGAAATGATACATGTATATTCTTATAAAATATTGGCTGACTGATAACAGAAGATGGAAGAAAATTCCTTTAAATTACACATACTAGGAATCTGTTATAACTTACAGATAATTTATATTTACATATATATGGGTTGGTCTTCATAAATCTTTGAATGACACATGTTGAGATTAGTTGTACTTTTAATACACTTCAAAACAACACACCTATAAAGCTATAATTAGGAAATATTGACCTGTAACTACAAGAAAATGCTCCCTTTCATGCTATTAAAAGGAAATATAATATTAATATCTTCCATATTTACCAAGAGCCATATTGCCTTCTTTGGGGAACTTACAGAAAGTGAAGAACTAGTAAGGTGTTTTGTTTTGTTTTGTTTTGTTTTGTTTTAAATTGATTTAGCTTCCATTATGTTTGTAAGAAGAAAAGCAATTTTACTAGTGTATTTGGAATATATCATTGTCTTTAAGAAGCATAACACGAAATTGTATGCATTGATAGCGTTTAATAAACACTGTTATCAAAATGCTTTCACAGCAAAGAGGGGAGGTGGGAAGAAAGGAAGATAATTCTGTGAGAATAAGAAGGACCACGATTCATGTAGAGGAAAGAGTAAATAAACTAAAAACTGTTAGAAATTATAGAAACCCTTAACTCATTCTAGCAGTATTCCCCACTTAACAAGATTGTTCTCTTTAGAACCTACACTAAATAAGTATGACACAGTATAAAAATAAATTAATTAATTAAAAATGATAGTTTCTGAGATAATCCCAAAGGGTAGATATTCTCAATTTACATCAGAGAGCTCTAATGAAATACTATACAGTCATTTGTTGTTGTTGTTGTTTTTTAAATAGGATGACAGTGAGTGAAAACAAAGAGATAAAAGAAAGATTCTAATATTTTTTATCTTTTCAAATGGAAAATACTTTATGATATGGTACCTCACTGTTGTAATCACTTTTTTATAGTAACACTAAACAAATTTGCATAGTGTTAGAAACAAAATCAAATATATATAGTAGAAATTCAACTAAATCCATTAAAGTCAATGGAGTAAACACTGAGTTGTTAAAAATTATACATGCCATATTTCCAGTATTAGGAACCTAGTTTTCTAAGATTAAAAACAACTTATTTATATTCCATGATTAATTGCATTTAAAGATTAAATAAACTGTTACTTTTCTAAAACACCAAATGCTGGCTTTTATCCCTTTTAAGTTCTATCATGTAAAAATTAAAGAAATGCAGGGGCGCCTGGGTGGCTCAGTCGTTGGGTGTCTGCCTTCGGCTCAGGTCATGGTCCCAGGGTCCTGGGATCAAGCCCCGCATCGGGCTCCCTGCTCCGCGGGGGGCCTGCTTCTCCCTCTCCCACTCCCCCTGCTTGTGTTCCCTCTCTCGCTGTCTCTCTCTGTCAAATAAATAAATAAAATCTTTAAAAAAAAAAAAAAAAAAAAAAATTAAAGAAATGCAGATAATACAGACTTTACAATCATATAGTTCTGTGGTATCATGTAATTTTGTAGATGGACATAATTTTTAATATAAAGATAATTTAAATAAGTAGAAATAATGTATTTTCTCATTACTGAAGTCATAATTATAAAGAAATGATTAGCTACCATGCCTAAAATATTGTTAAAATAAATTGAAGTAAAAATAAATTGATTGGGATAATATAAGAAACTAATGTATATATATATATTTACTTCATAAATATTTTAAATATTGTACATAATTATACTTAACTACATATTCAAGATACAATCATTTTCTTCTTGGGTGAAATTATTTTTAAAGCTTACGAGATAATCACTAAATAAGCAGATGTCACACGTAAACACACACACACTCATAAACAGGTACCATGTGGCTTTAAAAGAGGAAATTTTAATTTTGTAGCTTTAAGAGGAAAAAATAAGTCTTTTAAATTACAAAATTTCAAAAGGAATTATAATTTGTATGTTGGCTTGTAAGGCACTTCAAATTATCTGTATGATAATTGATGAGAATTATTTTCTAAAGCTTTTTCTCCTGTCCTTTGCGAGTCTCTTGGCACAACTTTAAAGCAAAGCATGCTGCTGTAACTGCTACAAAGTTATAATATATATTATATTATAATATAATAATTCTATACTCCACTAATGTGGACTTAAATGCCCACTATGGCTTTTGAGTCTGAATGGTAATATTTTCCTCCCATACAGATTGAGTAATGTATATATTCTTTACAGTACAGCCTCACATAATACAGCTCAAAAATGAGACTACGTATGAGGATGGTCAAGTCACACTTATATGTGAAGCAGAAGGGGAGCCTCTTCCAGAAATCACTTGGAAAAGAGCACTAGATGGCATCACATTTTCCAAAGGCGATAAGGTAATAGGAACTCAATATATAGTGATTTTCAATACCATTGTATTCTCAGAGTTTTGCATATTATTTACTCTCACACTGGACTCCAGTTTACCAAGTAATTTGTAGGAATGCAAGAAATGGCTTAAATTTTAAAAAGGTAACTCTACCACAGTCAGCCTAAAAATAAGTGGAGGAGAAAAAAGTGAAAGTGTGATATTTAAAGATGTTCTTCATTAAGCCACACAATCTTAGGTTGTTGGTGTTCTTAAGTTCGCTTACATGGACTTTCGGCATACATTGAGTCTATAAATTTTGTTATTGTAATTTTACCCCCCCCACCCCCTGCTGTGAAAATGAAAGTCATTCCAGTTCACCAGAGTCTGCTGTCACCATTAACTCTTTACGCTTTAGAATTGTCTTTGTGCAGTGGTAGGTTAGGTTTTTGCTTTCATGTAATTTATAATATAATAAAGAGAAATAAGCAGAAGCACACCAAAATACAGCATTTTGGCAATTGTCATTCCCATGTAAATTGGCGACCTGTCACCAGAATGCGTTCAAATTACTAACAAATTAATAGATTTTCATTATTGTTACTTTTCATAATCATTTGTATAAATTTCCCATGTATGGACAAAAGTGAAACAGAAAGGAAAAGAGTGAATTAGTGATATGATGAATTGACATTTCACATGTGTTAAAGAGGGTAAGATTAAGCTTACAGATCTCTTTTCTTAATATTAAAGAAAACCCCTTTAAATCTTTCATTAATTTAAACCAAGTTCTATGAAAGAGTGATTTCTGCAATATAAGTACCTTTGACTTACCAGAACTGATAGCAGAAAAATTTGAAACCTATTTATCTGACAGGCATTTTCTATCCCTCCAACTCATCATGTAGTTTTGAACAGTATGCTAACTCCATAAATTGACAAAACAGCCATCTCCTTGTCTATTTACTATTTATTCTTTGCAAGAATTGTATTCGCATATATGATATGTATATATGTATGTATCATATATATATAAGATGTACATGATATGTATTCATATATATATATCTATCTATATTTCACATTTCTTTGCCTCATTTCCTCCTCATGATGACATTTTTAAGAGAGTATATCTTTTTTGGTAATAGTTATACTATTTTGATGTATTTATTTTATATGTACAAATTGAAAATCAAATTTATAAAATATCTTCTGACAACCCAGAGAAACCATACAAACTTTGCTTTAACATTTTCTTAACAGAAAACACAAATATTATTAAGGCACAGTTGTCAAATCTGAAAGTAGTTATATTTTCATAAAGTTATTTTAAATAATAAAAAATTAGATATATAAAACTGTGTTTTTCTGTCAATTTAGTACATTTCTATAGACAAGATCTGTCAAGAATAGTGATTTTCATTTCTATAAGCCCTTATTAATTATACCTTCATATTCCTAACTCATGCTTTCATTATAGTCTTGTCCACTGTAAAACTCCTAAAAGTTCTCATCCTTTTTTTTTCATTAGTAGCTGTTTATTGATCAATGGTTTGATGTAAAGTTATTTAAATATATGGAATGCTTCACGAATTTGCATGTCATCCTTACACAGGGTCCATTCTAATCTTCTCTGTATCATTCCAATTTTAGTATATGTGCTGCTGAAGTGAGCCAGCCAGCATCTAAAAGTTCTCATCTTAAAGATGTGTTTACTCTCATTTAATAGATGTTTCCTAATGTGTATACCAACGATGAGAGATACATTATATTAAGTTATTTTATCATGAAAAGTTATCAAATAACCAGAAGGCTGTGGTATTTTTTTATACACTGTAAACCCCAGGCCACTCAAAGCCATATGCAGAAATTTCTTCTCTAGTAGTTCTGAAGAATAACTAACTAGCTTTGTTTGAATAGAACTTTCTCTGTTAAAATACTCATCTTTTCTTTTTTATTTGGTTTATTTGCTACAAAACTATCATAGAAACCCATATATGCTTTTGTTTTTCCAAATATAACTTTTATCCAGTTGATAAAGAAATTAAGGTTATTCACTTTCTATCATGACATTTCTCCAAAATCATTTTAAGATTCATATCTTATTTTTCCATGGTAAGCTTCCTTTCTCCTAACATTACTAGTTTTTTCAACAGCCAAAATTCAAAAACTGAATGGTTGACCTGAGCTTTGAAGTAAGGCATATCTAGTTTAAATCTCAGCTCTGCCATTTGACAATATTATCTGAAGTCTTATTAATATGAGTTTCTTCATCTTTAAAATGTGAATAATAATATTTTCTTCCCTTAAAAGTATACGAAATCTGAGGAGTATACCAAACTCTTTACATTTTGTAAATATTCAATAAACTTTTTTTTATTATATCACTCTGTCATATTACACAATTTTCAAAGCATAGTTTATCTTGTTTCTGTTATTCTGAATAAATTCTAGTTGTTATTGGCTCCATAAAGTCTGGTACCTAAGGTTTGATTAAACACTATCACAGAGTATTTTTAGATCATATCTCTCTTGTCACGGAAAGTATAAGATTGTATTTTCCACAAGAATCACTTGGAGATCCTGTTAAAATGCGCTTTCTAGAATCCTACTCCCCGAGGTTGACTTAGTATGTTTAACACAGGACCTAGAAGGACATATTTAATAAACTCATAAGGTTGGTATATGGTTCGACTTCAGGCCATACTCTGGAAAACAATCCCTCAGTCACATGAAATTTAATAGCTAATCCTGTCAACAGAAAAATGCTCTTAACAGATTACTTGGCACCTGATAGGGGCTTGGGAAATACAGAACAAAACAAATCAAAACTTCCCATTATGCATACACTATCAAAGTTTTGATGAAACTGCTCATTGTGTAGGTCATAACAGTGAAACAGGATCAATGCAATGTGGCTCATACTAATAACTTCATCCAAAACTATGACCGTGCACTTAGCAAATATGGTCATCAGTGTAGATTTTCAAAGGATGGGATCTCAATTAATAGGATCCCCTTTCCTTGCCTAAATTTTCAATCACCAGATAAGACAAAAGAAATAAACGGGGATAAAATGTCATGTGGCTTGGGCGCCTGGGTGGCTCAGGTGGTTAAGTGACTGCCTTCGCCTCAGGTCATGATCCTGGAGTCCCGGGATTGAGTCCCACATCGGGCTCCCTGCTCGGCGGGGAGTCTGCTTCTCCCTCTGACCCTCCCCCCTCTCATGTGCTTTCTCTCTCTCATTCTCTCTCTCTCAAATAAATAAATAAAATCTTTAAAAAAAAATGTCATGTGGCTTAAATCTGCAGGTCAGTTAATGTTCTTATACCATACTAGAGAATTAGATAGACCTACCCAGCACAGTCCTGAGTAGAATTAGACCTTGTAGCCCCCCACTATGGGAAACTAGGTATCACTGCTAAGGTTACCATCATGGCTGAGTGCAAGGGAAGAGCCTATGGTCTCTACAGGAAGGTCCTTTCTGAAAATAAAAAAGAGCAGCTAGGAAATGCATATTCAGTATGATGCCCCCATGGTTACCAATCAAACATCTGCCTGGTTCTCATGGAGAAGAGTAATTAAGGAGTTGGAAAGTCCAGAACTGGTATGTGTTCACAGAGCTCCCTTCCCATGGAATAAATGTTAGGTGTCCGTGAGAAGTGTTCACTGCCCAAAAAACTTTATATTTATAACATCTTAATAAGCACTATATATACATTGTCACAATTTAACTTCTGGTATTCTTACTGCATGATAAATGACCCCAAAACATACTGGAACAAAACAACCATTTTGTTTTGCTCATGATTTTGTGGATCAGGAATTTGGGGAGGCTCAGCAAAGTGGACATCATGAGATACCTCAAATTGCTCACATGTATATGTTTTCTGTATCTATAGTTTTGTAGAATGATTGAACTATGTATATTAGTATACCATAAAATATCCTTGAGTAATATGGCATCCTTCAGAAATGACAACAAAAAATATGGTGCTTAGAGTTCTTTTAAACACATGACTCTTTCATCTAACCCATTTTAATGCATCTTATCTACATTTAAAATAGTATATGTAATTTGTACAACTTCAGAAAATTTCAAAAATACGTGTAATATGTAAGAAAAAGAATATTCACTTGCTTTAAAAATTGTTTCTTAATATTCATTGTTATTTCGGAATAACATTTTGTTCATCATTTTATTTTTAAAGAAATTTCACAGTTTTCACTAACTTTTAATTACCCATTTATTGAAAATTTCTAGGCACTTTAGTGCAACTTAAGTATTATTTATGATTCTCTATAAAAATATTGATTTACCAGGGTTATCCAGAAATTCATTACACTGACAGCTTAATATTAGCACATGATTTTGGAGTCATCTTAAGATACATTTGTTTATAAAAATCAGAAATGCCTAGCCTCTTCATTTAATAGATACTATACATATAATCTGAATAATATTTAAACATATATAATAAAGTATAGGACAAAAACCAAAGCTATTGTTGCAGAATATAAAACAGCCATGAATTAAAACGTATAAATTGCTTTGTAATTTATAAACTAAGCAATCTAATTTTTATATTAAAATCTCTATTTTTAACATCAAAAAGTAATGATGTAATGTATGGTGATTAACATAACATAATAATAAAAAAATCTCTATTTTTAAAATAAAACCATGCTTCTTTCACAGAGTTGATCTACAGATTATATAAAATGATGCTTCTACAGTGTTTGACAGAGTCCCTGGTATTAATACCTGTCATCTATTTTGAACCAGTTTCTTTAGATCATTCCTTCTTATCATTCTTATTAATCAATAAATGTTAGTATATCTAAGATTATAAGTATTGATGAATTAGTATGAGAAGTCATGCAAAATGTCACACAAATTAAAGTTTAATCCTAATTTTGTCATTTTGGTGCGTCATTCATGATATTACTTCTTATATCTGACCAGTTTTTGCATGTCTAAATCAGGATAATAAGATGTCCCTGTAAAAAGTTTCGGAAGATGAAATG